CGCTGTTTCTTTCCCTCCATTTTCAGAGCTTGTGTTGTTCTCCAGGCTCCCCCTGCGATGTGAACGACTGTTTTATCAATGAGGCGAGTCAAACATGCAGGCCTGGCTCAGCACTGGACATCCCTCCTGCATCCCTTCCTCCTCCTCCTCCTCCGTCTCCTCTGAGAGCCACTGCCAGACCCTGCACAAGCCCCTGGCCAAGATGGCTGCCATGTGCAGCTTTGTGGTTGCCTGCTGGTGAGGGCCTTTTTGCAGTCAATAAGCCAGTTGATCGAAATAATTAGCATCACAATGGGCTTTCTTTTAAGTCGACACGCTCGTATTCATGGCGGTGAAGAGGGCTGTGCACCTGATTGTCCTTGTAATTAGGTGCTTGGCAATGCAAACGCTGTGTTTAGGAGAGACATAAAATCGCATTTACAACTATAAACAAAGCCGCTTGGACGCCACTTTTGAGCAAAATTCAGCGTTGCATTAGCATTTTCGATGCTTTAAATAATATTATTTTCTACCCTGAAAGGTGCTGTCCGATTGCATCAGTTATTTAGGTACTCGAGCTCTCAGCTGTGAGACAAACGTGAAGTAAAACCAAAGGAAAGCACACAGGAAACAGCCTGCACTCTTGTTTTTGTGATTTTGTATGCATGGATTGCTGACAAGCTGAGGAACCTTGGGAAATTACATATTCATCGTGCTGATCTGCTCAAGTAATCTGTTCAAGGTGACTGTCATAAAGATAACTTTTTCTCCTCCCAGAAGCAAAAGAAACTCCAGAGACGTGTTTCCGATGCTGCTCCCTCGCTCCAGCCCTCCTCTCGCTTTTATTTTTCTATCCCTCTCTCTTTCTAATTGTAATGCGCAGTTGGCTCGCAGGGAGCGAGGGAGACAATGGGGGCTTTTTGGTGAGAACTCATCCCATGTCAGGGCATGAAAAACGGCCAGCAGCACAAACAGGGGCATTGACTGGCTCATGGGGGGGGCAGCACGTTAAACGTGACAGAAATAAGCAGATGGACTTCTTCAGCCACATTCTCGTTTTTCTCAAGGAAATCAGGACTTGTTATCATCACAGTGTGCATCCTACAAGTGTGCGTGTGTGCTCTGCATAGTAAATAAATAGTAAGGCCTCCATGTCAGTGCCTTGGCTTGTATTTGTGCTTATTGCACTCTTAACGGCACCATTTCTCATTTTTAAATGGGTGGTTGGGGAATGCCATTGCACCTCATTACCTGTGGGAGTTGTATCTCTTTTCCGTTTGCTGAGAATGAGATGAGACGATTGATTCCACATTCAAACCTGCGAACCAATATAGAGCGACGAGCACTTTAAAAAGTGGGGAGACAGCCAGCGCAGCTCTCTTCACCCTGAAAACACTCCAACGTCACTTTTAAATTTGCCTAATAACTTATGTCCTGTTTTACCTCTGCACAAGTGGTTTCATAAGGACCCACATCCTTAAACTCTCATCGTGCAACCGCAGCTATTGTTTCTTTCTTTTGTGAGTGGGTGCAGGGACCTTTACCTTTGGACAAAGGTATAGATGTAGGCTAAGCAAAGGTGCTTAAGTGCTAAGGGGGCAATGAGGCCAAGTAGGTGTAAAAGAAAGCATGAGGGAGAAAACTATTTCTTTTAAAGCTGAACCCTGGTTTTATAAGACCCGCTAACACTGAGTCTTTTCAAAGCAATAATGCTCATGTTTCGTTCCTGACTAGGAACCAAAATATTACACCTACTCTCAAGAACCTTTAGTGATTTCAGCCGTTTTGTGTGGGTCCTTCTTTCTCATTGTCAAGGCTTTCTCTGGTAATCAATTACACTCCCAGCACAGCTCTAAGATGTCACTTTGCAGTCTTTGAAAAGCCTCCCAGTCAGCACAGAGCGCCTTATAATCTTATGTCACTTTTAAAGTGCTAATCAACAGTCTGCTTCCTGTTTTTCACCTGCACATGCATGTCCAGTGTACATCTACATACAAGTAGAAAGATCCCTGTATTAACGCAATATTAAACTTTTGTATATGCTTTCTTCTAATACCCAGGTCATAGTGGTTTGTCATGTGATACCAAAAAGAGGAGGGCCAGAGTGATATGCAAAGTCTGCTGGGAAACGCTTCAAGGGATCAGAAAACCACCTCAAAAGCATCGGATTGAAACACAAGTTGGTTTGTGATTATATTTCTGTTTAACAAGCAACACTGAAAGCATTCAACCTCTATTAAGCTTTGTTTTGTTTTCCTGTAACAGTTTGCAATTACACAATCTTATTAGCTACAGAAATGCAGAAAAAACATTCAGATATTGGATATTGATTCTATAAATAGTGAACGAGATTACATCGTGTACTACATACAAGTAAGAGTAACGTCTCATACTTGGAAAGAAAATACTCATTAAGGGGCATGCGCCCTCTGTAAGAGAAAAGATGGTTAAATATATGTTAATTAAAATAATCATTACAATAATGGGAGTAGCTGTAACAATAGTTGTTGCTTCCACTGCTGATAAGACGCTGTTATCAATCTGATGTAGGCAAGACTGCGAGGGGGTGTGAGAGCAGGAGACCCAAAGGGGCAATTAACCTGCCTTTATACCCCCGCCATCTTTAAAGTTTACAGATCAAAGTATCCCCAAAGTTTAAAGCATTCCTGCGTACTCAGAAAACCCACATGCAAAAATCAGGCCAGAGGAATATGGAAATTTGAGGTTTGTTTGAGTTTTTTCAAATTAAAGTTGACCTTTAAGTTTGTCACCCAGTAAAACACTTTTTTTCTCCAGACAGGGACTTTTTGACCTTCACTGCTTTTGAAATAAATCTGGGCTGACCTCGCCCCGCTAAGCTGCCTGACAGGGACTTGTTTGGATATCGTTCCTGGGCCTCTTCCCAGTGTCTTTCTCATTTTTAATATTCTTATCTAAGAAATTTCTTATTGTTAATGTAATTTTCACTCCCTCTGGTTCCAAATGCTCGATGCCAGACTGAACATAATTCCCACACCTATCCTAGTGTTCCATATCAGAGCACTGAAAGGAACCACACAACCATAATTGAGCCATGAA